GATTTCAGCTAAGTACCAGGTAGGACCATAAAATAGAGTGATATGGGTTAGAGGGACCAGGTTCTGATTCAGCTGAATGTCAAGGAGAGCCTCCCAAATGACATTTGATTTAAGATTCAACGATAAAAAGGAGCCAGACACAAGAGCATCTGGTGAGAAAATCTTCTAAACAGAGGGAACAACAAATGCCTGAGACTGAGGCTGGGACAAGCACAGGAGGGACAAATGACAGAAAGAAAGCCGGTGCAGATGAGAGAGATGGGCAGGGGGAAAGAGGAGTCTGAGAGAGAGGCAGGGACAGACCCTGAACCCACAGAGAGAATCAGGGTTTCACTCCTGCTCCTCTGCCTCCCCAGTTTTGTGTCCAAAGAAAATCAATGCAAGTAGCCACATGATTTAGAAATAAACAAATTTTTAAAAACTCTTCCAGTGTACTCAAGCCAGAAAAACAAGACCTCATCCTTTTGAACAAAGATATACCCCTTAGAGCTTAATTCAGGCCAAGCATGCAATATGTGCTCAATAAAATTTGTTGAATGGACACCATGCAAAAGTGATTTCAACTGTACACAAAGTGAGTATGAACTTGCTCACAAAACTCTAGACTAAAGGGACTCAAGGGCCTGAGGAAGGGAAGTGAAAACAAACCAAAGCCCATCTGATGCCACAATGCTGGTTACGCAAATAGGACTCTATCTCATCAGAGGACACAGGTTCAAAATTTAGCACTGCAAATATACTTCGATAAATGCAAGGATACCGGATGCACAATGAGTTACTAAGGGACACCAGGATGGCCTAATTTTGAAATTTGAAATCAGGAAGACAAGCCACCCCTGCCCAAGCCAGAATCTAGGACTGGCTCAGCACCTGAGCTGCTCTCATTATACCCTGAAAAGGGAAATGAACCTTCAAGATTGGGGGGGGGTGCCCAACATCAAGGTGAAGCCCTGACTGGCCATGGGCAGGGAAGTAGCACCTTGTAAAGGGTTTTATGGTGATCTGTGTAGGCTTGTCTCACTTCTGTTTCTAGAGGACTAGAACCGCATCTTATATTTCTGCCTCCTCCAAAAATTGCACAGTATCCTTCCTACGTGCCCCAGGAGCTCAGACATTTGCCAAATGAATGAACATGCAGGATTTCAATGCAGTCTACTGGGACCAATAAGGAGACCCTGAATGAGGTCCCAGAGTTAGATGCAGTGAAGAAAGGACAAAAGGATCCCACTGGAGACATGAACAGGGCTGGGGTGTCCATGAGCCAGCCACACAGGGAAACAGCAAAAGAACTGGAGAAGATGTGCTTTTGAGGAAACCTGATCCAACACTTGAAGGGCTGTCACATAGAAAAGGAGTAAGACCTGTTCTTTCCAAAGCTCCAGAAGTCAACTCTCAGCTGAGTTTAAGGAAGAACTTCCTCCCAGCAAAGTATCTGTAAGACTGTGTTTAATGTGACACCAGCGTTCAGGGGGGGAGGGGAAAGACTCCAAATGATTTCATTGGAAAATACATTTGGGAATTCGGGTTAATCAAAGATAACAGACAGTCTTACTGAAGTGCAAAGCTTTCAGCCCTTCTCAAATTTATGTAGTCCCGAACAGTTTTTCATAGGATGCTATGCACATCTCCCAGAGTCTCTACATTCCAAGCTCTTCTCTGGGGAAAAGATGAGTTAGAGCTGTCTGATGAAAGCATCTTTTGAAGGGGTGAGTGTCACACCAGCATTTGAGTACTTTTAGGATGCAGAATTCAACACTATATAGATGATATAGATGCAATATGAATAGAAAACTAGAACCATGGGTTCATTCTCCCACGGGCTTTCATCTTGAATGACCAAGTCACCGGCAAAAAGGTCCAGTGACACCTGAAGACACAGACTAGCTGTCCCCTCCAGAATCTCAGTGTCCAATGGGTGGGTGATATGGACATTGTAAAGGGATCCTGGAAGTAATCAGGGCTGTCACTGGGGAGCTGAATGACAAGTTCTTACCAGAGCCCACTTTGACTCTTCTTATGCAGTATTTTCTAGAAAATATTGCCTGCATGCTTGCCTTCCTCTCATGCATCTATCCTGTAAAAACCAGAAAAGCTGCTGCTTCATGGCTGCCTATGGGAAATTCTGACAATAAACAAGCACATTGCATAAATAATGATTTAACTGAGGTTTTCCATACATGTTACAAAGAAAATGACTGGTGCAAAACAACAGTAAGTTACACAAAGACCTTGCCCAGTGTGGGATTTTAGGATGGGTCTTCTAAGGGAGCATAGAGATCAGGTTTTACAGATCCTCAAATGTGCAGGTCCAAAAGAAGTCTCTGTGACAGTCCTCTGAGAAATCATAGCCTTATGGGGTCAGAAAAGGCCACACAGGTCCACTCACCACTGCAGCCTCCTCTCTAGTGCTATATTATATGGATCCTCTAATGGAGACTATAACTCATTAGGTCTGAGGAGGGATGGAGAATTTGTATTTCTAACCAGGTGATTCTAATGCTGCTACTCTGCAGACCACATTTAAATAGCACTACTCCATTGGGCATTTTAAAAGACCTAAATTAATGTAGGGCTATACCATGTTCATGGACAGAGGGGCTCAAACATAAAGATGACAGTTTTCCTCAAATTAACCTATAAGTTCAATACACTCCCAACCAAAATTTCCACAGAGTCGTTCTGTTCTTTATTGTTGTTTTTTAACTTGACAAGCTGATTCTAAAATTCATTTTGGAAGAATAAACAATTTTAGAAAAGAACAAAATGAGGAACTTGCCTTACCAGCTCAAAGCTTACAAGAAAACTATAGGTATAGTATCAACACACAATTAGCAAAAGAGACCAACGGAACAGCACAGGGAACCCCAAAACAGACCTGTGCTTTTAGGAAAACAATATATGGAAGATGGTCCTACAAGTTGATACAGAAAGGATGAACAATTCAGTAAATACTGCTGGAGAAATTGGGTATTTATATTTAAAAAGCTGGATTCCTACATCATATTCTATGCAAAAATAAAATTAAAAGTGAAAAAGAAAACTTTTAAAACTCATACAAAAATACAGAAAACTTTTTTACAACTTTGGGGTAAGGAAATATATCTTAAGTAAGACATCAACTGCGTAAGCCAAAAAGACTGACAAATTTGACTTCAATAAAATGGAAACTCCTATATGCCATAAATAAATAAGAGAAAAGCCATACACTATGAAAAGCTATTTGCAGCACAGATATTAATATCTAGAATGTATAAGGACTTCCTACCTATGAGAAAAGACAAACTATCCAAAGAGAAAAGTATATGAACAGGAAGTTCACAGACAAGGAAACCCAAATAGAGAAAAAAAACATGAACAGATGCTTGACCTTACAAGTAAATAGAGCATGCATATAGAAAATAGTGGGATACCATTTCATACCCATTACACTGGCAAAACTTAAACACTCTGACCAGACCAAGAGCTGTCTAGTATGTAGAGCAATGCAAATTCTCACACACTCTTGTTTGGAGAAAAAATTAGTCCTTTTGGAAAGCAATTTGACATTATCTGATAAAACTGATAATGCATGCACTCTACTGCCCAGCAATTCCACTCTTAGGTATATGGCCTAGAAACCTTCACTTATGCACAGACATAAGCACAGCAAGACATTCACTCCGTATGTTTAATAATAGTAGGAGACTGCAGATAGTCTAAATACCCATCCAGAGGAGCTGACTAAATACAATGTAGTCTATTTACACATTGAAATACTATACAGCAAGAAAAAAGTTAATGAATGAAGCTACATGTATCAATAGAAATACTTCTCAAAATCAATATTGAACAAAGAAATAATATTGTAAAAGATGTAAGTAATGGGTACCATTAATATGAAATTTTAAAACATGCAAGAAAGACCTAGGTACTATTTGGGATTTACATATACAGAGAGCATAAACATGAGAATGATAAATCTAAATTCAGCATAATGACTTCTAGAGAGGGAAGGAGAGGAATGGTATCTTGGGAAAAAATAAAAATCATTCATGAAATCACTGCTCCTCTACACTACTATTAGTCAGCATTAAGTAGGGGAGGTTCTTCAATGAACCAGGTTTTTTCAGATGAAAAAGACTCAGAAAGCATTTAGTCAGCCTTTGACCCACAAAGGAAACCTCTTTGATACCTTGGGAAAGGGATACTTCTACCTTTACTAGAGACACTCCTAAGTCAGGGCCGTCGGGTACAGTTATGCACGTAGACACTGCACAATTCTGGAACACACATTTCACAGTGTTAATGATGCCCCCCCTAGGGTTCTGCAGTGAGCAACCGTATGTGGCAGCCCTGTAGCTTCCAGGTCATAAACCTCTTTGGGGCACTGATAAAAAATGCCCACCCACACAATTACTGCCTGTAATGTCCACGGATTCAGACACCTGCCCAACAACAATCAGCAGCAGCCTTACACTAGTCAAACACTTCTGGGAGCAGCACTCCCAACCTTCAGAAGTACTTACAGACAATGCTGTGAGACTAAGCTCTTCCTTAAGCACATTTAAAACCTGCCTCTTGATAACCTCCATCCATTAAAGTTCATCTACTTCAGCTATTGAAAGAAAGCTAACCTGTCACCCCCAGAGATTTCTGCTTTCCAGGCTAAATATACTCTAAACTTAGCTTTTTGCAAACATCTTCTCTTTTGATATATATATTTTTAACTGTCCATCATTTAAAAATAAAATTTTAAACTGTCCAAGCATTTCTTGACCTAATAAGCAGCTAGGCATGATGACATGCAATCAAAGAACAAGAAAGCATCTCTCATCTGTCCCTTTGGGAAACCTCTGAAGAGCTCCACTCTGACTCCCAACACCGTCAAAAGCCCATGGAAGGCAGGAAGTGCAAGAGTGGAGGAAGGGTCAGGCTTTTTCCATGAGTGAGAGCAATATTAACTGAGCAGAACCAGGATGGAGTCCCCACAGGCCAAGGGAGACAGGTCATATTCCACTTACTCCCAAAACTCCATGACAGGAGAGGTGGCATTCTGCAGGGACACATGGCTGTGGTTACTCATGTTCAGTTTCTGGAACTCCACACATTTCTCTACAGTGGAAATAAGACAAGAAATACAAGATTAATCTCCACAAGGGCTGCATCTTGGAAAACATTCAGAGCTGATGGAGCAAGCATGGTTTACCTCACCGTTCCAAGTAAACATGCCTCAAAGAACACCGTGGGTAAAATCAATAACTTACAGTTTGAAAGGCTTGGTCTGATTCAAACAGGAGGAAGAGTTCTGGGGGCAGGGAGCCTTTTCTCTCTCATCCTCACTCAACGTGCCCTATCAAACTTTCTTCCTGCCTTGTTCCCCAATCTCCTTTCCTTTTTTCACTTCCCTGTCAAAGGGAATTGTGTTACTCAAAGGTTGTTTTTTTGTTTTTTTGTAGGAGTAAAAGAATTTCTCAGACACCCAAGTTTGACAAGGCATTTTTATTAAGATGATCATTAGTTGTGCACAAATAAGCAATGAGTTATAAAGTCTTTGTAGTTATAGTATTCCTACAACTATAAAACCAGAATTAAATTTACCAATTAAATACTAACTAAACTACGGACCCAATACAATTCAAATTGATAGCATAAAGTGGGTAAGATAATGCCATTTTGTGATATTAAATGGATTTCAACAGAAAAAGGGCCTGACAGGTAGGAGGCAGGGTCTATATTGGGTTTGGCTTGCCTATTTCTCCATGCTTCATTTGAGACTAGACTCTACCACCACCTTTCTCTGTTCATGCTGTTGAAAAACCTTTATTCCTACAACTTTTGTTGTTCTCAACTGGAACTTCATTTCGTACTAATGCACCATTTATGAATCAAATCTCTCTGCTCTCTTCCCCTTGGCTGCCATCATCCTATTTACCAAAAACACATCTTCAATTATAAACACTCACAAAGTCAGGCACTGAAATCTCATGACTGTCCTCAGTTATAAGGTGGTTGTGCAGATAATCCAGAACATATGAGTATTTTTAGAGTATTCTCAAAATAAATACACACAATTAAATTATAATGGAGGGCTCACAGGCCTCCAAGAATATGTCCTTGAATTTTAATTTGATAAACATCGCTAAGAGGTCCCTGGCCAAAGAAAGGTTAAGAACCAGGGAGACAGTGAGCCTGGCCAGCATGGCTCCATGTTTGAGCATCGACCCATGAACCAGGAGGTCACGGTTTGATTCCCAGTTAGGATATGTGCCTGGGTTGGGGCTCCATCCCCAGTAGGGGATGTACAGGATGCAGCCGACTGATGATTCTCTTTCACCATTGATGTTTCTCTCTCTCCCTCTCCCTTCCTCTTTTGAAATCAATAAAAACTTTTTTTTTTTTTTTTTAAAGAGAGAGTGAAAAGTCCACAAAATGCAACAAGAGAGAGAGCAGGGCAAAGTTATGCAGGGCTAGAAGCTAGTTCATAGCACTTTCTAGGCCTAATGCCGGCTGTTCCTTTTGCTGGTGACCGACATCCTACCCAATCTTACTGTAGCTCAGCCTTCAGGATGACGGGCCACTTCTGGGGACAACCTAACCACAGAGATGGTGAATAGCTTAAAGCATGTAGGCCAATTTCAGTCAAAAGGCAGTGGTTACCTAAAGCACTACTGAGAAGAGTTCTGCGGCTGAGACAACTCAAAAGAGAGTTCTGCAATTAATTAGCGATGTGTGCTCTAAGCAGGGCCACCTTAGATGTGTTGGAATGTATTTGCCTTCTCTGGATTATGACTCAGTCCTGAAAGGATGACAAATTGAAAAGCAAATAGTATATTAGAATCTAAAGTAATCTAAAAGTTATCCATTCAAGTGGTAGGGTGGGGTGGGATAGTGAATTCACATACCTATCTAGATTGGACAGGTAAAGTAAATGAGCAAAGTGGACTGGGTAAGGACTGTGGCCTCATCCAAAGGCAACAGCGGCTTCTCTGCTGCAGCCATTGCTGCCCAGCAAGAATGTAGGAATGTGGGTCTGGTGTTGCCAGATCTTTTCAATTTTTCAAGAGAAGCTAGTGATCTGGATTTTCATGCGAAGTCTAATGATTTTTTAATTTGGGCAATCAAATACATTTTTTTTTATCCTTACTTGAGGATATTTTTTCTATTGCTTTTTAGAGAGTGTGGAAGGGGGGGAGGGAGGGGAGAGGGAAACATTGATGTGAGAGAGGCACATTGG